TCCTGCGTCCTTGTTTCTCACAGACAACAATACATCAATACTGTGGGAATCCAGCGTACGGGCAAAAGCCACTTGTTGATCTGCTTGCTTCAGTGTGCGAACGTTGAAGGTGGCTAAGTAGACAGGCTTTCGGAGTTTGAAAACAGACTTCGAAGTGCTTAGGATTGTAACTGAACTCGAACGTGCAGAAGCTGCAGCTGAGTGTGATGCAGGGTGAGTAACACGGTCAGTCCTAGTGCTGGGACCTGCGGAGAAAGTATTCGAATTTGGGTGGGGGAGGGTGAAAGAAGGAAAAAGTGAAAGTGAAAGAAGGGAGGCGTCAGCAGTAACATGTTTTCGCTTACCCGCCCTGCTGTATGCAGCAAATAAGGCGACCCGGCTGATGCCCACACCTAGACAGGAGGACGATTAGGGTCCTCAACCAAAGCCTTCGGCTCAAAAGCCTAACCACAAGGCAGCGGTGTTCGGCTGGAAATGCAAGTACATTACCATTTTTTACGGAGCACGCCATACATGTTCCAACCCCCAACCTGGAGGGCCAGGAGACTGTGTTCGTCGGACCTATACCCATGGACCAACCTGGTATGACAGGCTGTGAGCATCGTGCGGACACGCCCCAGTATAGCTCAATGGGTCGCCGAGGTACACAAACCGCCACACCACGGTAAGGTCTAGCCCCTTCGTGTTTGAACGAAGCCTGGCCAACGGGTTTTTCACCGTTGACCAAGCAAGCTCACGGCGGGGACATTTAAGAACATTTTCGAGCTCAGAGCGCACACATTCATTAGGCAAAATTTTTTCTAATTTGAGGTAGTAGCCGCATGGAACGACCTTCCTCCGACGGTTGTCCACGCGCCTTCTGTAACCCAGTCCAAAACACTATTAGATACTTATTTATGCGAATCTTCGCACTGGGAAGCATACTGCCCCGCGCCGAGAAGATAAAGAGCAGTGCTACACCCTTTTTTCACTTGTGCCTTTCAGGTAAACGACAGCCGCTGACCGACAAGAGCAAAACCGACTCGGAAAACTTGGGCAAAAGCCTCGATCGCGTGTGGCTATCCGTGCATCCGTTAATGGCCCAGTGAAGCAGTCCTCTACTGTCATCGTGGTTGGCCCCCACTATGACTAATCGGCGCTTGACGTCTTCTGTTCGGTTGCCTGTTCTTCAGTTTTCCGTGGGCATTATGTGCGGTTAAATCAGGGGGTTGCTTCGACACTGATTACTACTTATATATTCATACACAGTAAGTAGGTAGTAAGTTTTGAACAACACCGTTACCCAAAACTTTCAATTTTTCACCTTGTTCCCCAACTTATTTTCTCATGACTGCCGTGTGATTGCACCGCCACACAGTTACGACACACTCCTCGGAAGGGAAGACTGCCACCCACCTTTTCGAGCCAACATTCCACTCGCTGCTGTTCGATGTCCGGACCTTGCGACTACTGTTCAGTGACTGACATGCGAATGTCACGAACGGAGGAAACTTCAGGTTTGCAGTACAACTTTCCGTAGAATGTATCAATGGTGGCGTAGACCTACGCGCCCACTTCATTTTGACGCTTAGGATCGCTAAACCCCCAAGACACTCAAACGTATGAAACGGGAACCCCAACAATAAGGTTGTAATAATAGTACCAGCCTTTCCATGTTGGTAGTTGGTGAAAGCTAACAACTTACTGATATATTCATCTAACACATCACGTTCTGCCTTTCAGCCGCATCTAGCAGCTATCCTCCACAGGTCCACATAGTAAGTTTGGGTAATTTTCATACACTCAGGTATGCGACATAACTGGCAACCACGCCAGGATACGTACCCGATCAAAAAGCGTAACTGAAGAACAACCTGTCGTGCCTGTCGGTTCATTCCGGTCACTGCGCCACAGAATGCTACAATCATTTTTTTCACTCCTACCCTCTGCCATTAGTGCTAGATTTATTCATACCAGATCTTCCCAACTGCTCCACCCCCGAAGAAGTTCTGCTTGGGTAAGACGTCAGAGCACATCCAAATGTTCCCTGTTAGTTGAACGGAAACGTGTGCTACTCTCATTATTTGATGTGGAAGCACAGTGCATAGTGAGAGACACAGGGGATGCTTGCCAACGGCGTCACATATGCTTGACGGAACGAATTCACCAGATCGAACATTAATATCGGTTTCAGTCACGAGTCCAACTTCCAGGCGAAAACGGTCGATTTTCGTCCGAGTACCGCGGCGGATGAGTGGAAATGCGCTTCCCGACTTGCACGATGGGCAACGGGAAGAAAAGATCCTCGACCAGGTCATCGCTCGTACCCGTGCCCATAAACTCCGCGAGCGGTTCTTGGGTAGTCCTCCTCACTCGGTTGCAGCGGTACTCCAAGTAGCGAAACAGGTGGAAGACATCATGGGCGTTCTAGAAAGGGATCGAGAGCCGAACGCGGCGCACTTCGCCCCCGTTCGTATCCAACAACGACACAGTAGACATTGGACACCAAATCGAGGACGAACGCTTACATTGCAGCAAACTACCATTTACCATCACTGTATCAATCAGGATTCTACACAATTTATGCCAAACATGCCCGCCTACTATGGGAGGTGTCCGGTGTGTATTCGAAAAGTCAAAAGTGCGAATGGGTACACATCAGAATTGACTGAACGCACGTGGTTGTTGTGTCCACAGGTCCGGGCGCGTGTCCCGAAACGCTGGCAGTAGGGGCAATCGTAGCTCGGGGTGGGCCATCTCAGATGGTTGGTTGGAGCTGGGTGCTGCAACGTAGGGCGAAAGTACGGTCGTTTGGGACGCAGTGGCACGGGGTGGTCCGTTCGTCCTCGATTTGGTGTCCAATGTCTACTGTGTGTTGTTGGATATGAACGGAGCGAAGTGCGCGGCGTTCGGCTCTCGATCCCTTTCTAGAACGCCCATGATGTCTTCCACCTGTTTCGCTACTTGGAGTACCGCTGCAACCGAGTGAGGAGGACTCTCCAAGAACCGCTCCCGGAGTTTATGGGCGACCATGTCTGGCAATAAATTTGTGTTCTATATTCTTGTCTCATGAAGTCTCTATACCCCTCTTTTTGTGAACATGTACATGGCTACTGCATATTCTTTCGTGAGTTCACCACAGCCAGTGATGCCAACAAGGTCGTGTATCATCCTGTTGCTTCAAGTTGGTGCTTGACATGCTGCTTGTCTATTGACCTACCTGTACGAACTTGAAGTTGTAAATACTCCGTGGGTGTTCGCTGACGGGCACTGACGATAGTACTCTTCTTATATCAAATATTTTAGAAGTGGAAACTATTTTAAATAATGTCACTAATTTTGCGGTACAGTTGTGGATGCATTTTGAACTTGTAAATTGTCCAGACCGGATCGAGTGGACTGTAACCCAAACATCATGGATGCATGTGAACCAGTGGATAGCGGATTGGGAAGGTTGTGCCAGCATTTTCGAACCTCAGGTATGTTACGCGGATGTGGCGTCAGCTAGACTGTCAGGGCTAGAATAAACGATACAGCGGCCTTGTCTGTCCTGTTTTATGGATCAGGGGCGTGGTCGTTGCTTGTGGAGAATCCTCGAGATTTCTCTGTGTTTGACCATCGATACTTCCGATGCATTGCTCGGGCCTGGTGGGAATAAATCAGTAATGCTGAAGTGCGGTAGACAACTTTCCGGCGAGTTCGCTCCTCCTCGTTAAATCAGTATGTTATACTCCATAGGTTACGCCGTTTAGGCGGTGTAGTCGATATGCCACACGGCCGTTTGCCTCGTTGATATCTTTTCGCCCAGCCTCGTGTCGGATGCAGATGACCCAAGGGCGATTTGCGACGCACGATCTAGTGAATGACCGCTAGACTCTTTGCTCTCGTCCTTGGGAGGTTATGGGATTCATTGAAAACAAGGCTGGGATCCATAGTCCAGTAGAGATTCGTCGATCACACTCACCCTCCGACAGATTCTGGGACAGCTACACTGCTGCAACCAATGTTGATCGCTTTTCCTTTGTTTAAAGCTGTCTGTCGTTGGACATTATGGCAGTGTCTATGGAGCAAAGGTGAAGTTCGGGTTGGGACGCAAACTTGATGGCTGGAAGGTCCGCGCTCCGAACCTAACCTCTCTTGTGCTCCCACCTAGGCTTGGGCAAGCTGGCAGTATCTCAGCTCTCGTGCTTCCTTCGGGCAGCATGGCAGCGAGGCACCGAAAGGGTCTTACAGTTGAAAAGATCTGAGGCGTCTCCCATAAGTTCTCGGCTTTCATTAAAGGACTGTGTCCAAAGCCCATTGATACGTGCAGGTCTGCGTCAAGCTCACACTTTAATTCAGTAAATCCACTGATGTGAGACAAGGCTGTTCTACTCCACTTCTCCCCTTCACGTTCTTCATCGATCTGATCATAGAAGACCCTGATCTTAGCCTCGAAATGCCCCCAGGGTGTTCGCTCACAAATATTGGCTACACAGACCTAGCTATTCTTAAAGCTGATGGCAAACAATATAGTCTAATCTCCTGGTTTCATCGTCATCTTCGAATGTAAAAATTACGAACATGTGCAGTTGTTATAGCTGCCAGTTTCGTTCACTGTTGATCTTGGGAGACAGGGGTGGATAGCTACGCATCGGAGGCAGTAGTTGATGTAATTGATGCGTGAATTCAGGAGTGCCAGTGGATTTTTACAGGGGTAGTGTGGGAAATTTGTGCGCGGGAGTTAACAACTTGGATTTATGCACATCATTAAGCGCGTCACTGGGCCATTGATGTTCCATATCCCGGAGTCCCAATTCGGAGAGACGGCAGTGATCACTGGAGCTACGCTTACTGCTGTTGGCTTTCATACCTAAGAGCAAACTCATTACTTGGTTTTCCCTGGTTCGTTGCGCGAAGAGAGCTCTTTGAGACGACCTAGTGGCGTATGGAGCATTAACCACCTATGAAATGTGGTGAGTTCATCTATCGCGGGCAAGTCATTTTTTCCGAAAACCACCCAACATACTTCATAATTGCTGACCGAAGGTCCGCACCATGCTCTGAAGAAATGGATGCTCAAGTCTTTCAAACTCCCCAGCGCACGGCAGCCAGGTTTCTGACCCCTATAGCAATATGGAGTCTACCGAAGTATTGAAAATACTGAACTATACAGATAGCCTGATCTGACATCTGCATAGCTTCCTCTCCCGATCGCCCCACTGAAAGGTTTATTGGCGCTCCTGAATTCATGCATCAACTATATCAGCTTCTGTCTCCAATGTGTAGCTATCCACCCGTACCTCCCCACATCATCGACGGACGAAACTGGCAGCAGTCACCGCTGTAAAGCGTGTACAGCCTAAGATGATTGTTACAATGGTCCAGTCGCGCAGTTAGACAAAACTATCAGTACGTTGGTGCCGAATTTTTCGCTTCGACGGACAACTATGTTGGTTCAGAATGAACTTATTAGACTATCGCTTGCGGTGTCTGGCTGTACTCCTCCCTTTGTGAAAAACTTTACATACCTCGGTAGTGCTTGCGGTGGCTGTACTCCTCCCTTTGTGAAAAACTTTACATACCTCGGTAGTTGTATTAGCTCCGACAGAAGTGTGTCTGATGAAGTCAGTCAGTGAATCTCAAAGGCTCGAATCACGTTTGCTAATTTGCGTCACTTGTGGCGTCAAAAAGGCATCTCACTGGATCTTAAGGGTCGTGTGTACCAGGCTACAGTAAGGGCTGTGTTGTTGTATGGGTGCGAGACATGGC